AAAAAAAAAAAAAAGAACATTGGTAGACACCATATCTTTGATAAATAGATTTGTCTACAAATGATATTGGCATACTGCCATATTAGAATAAAAACTGAAACAAAAGTGATAACTAGAAATATTTAGACAAAACTGAAACAATAACATGATAATTAAAACAAAAACATACTCTGGTTCATAAATTAATCCAATGTAGGCGCATCTGGGTGTACAAGCTAAACAAAATTTGAAGACAATGCTAGATCTCAACACCCAATTGCTCAAAATCCAAAAAAAAAAAAAAAAAAAAAAAAAAAAAAAAAAATTCACAAAGAACAATATTTTGAATGCTTCAGGCTTCAAATTTCTCGTTTCTTTTCAAGAACAAGCACTCAATCATGGATGTTTCACACAATAATTAAACCTCATAAGCTATTTTCTTCCTTAGCAATACGTAATCTAGCCATCTAGGGTTTGTAAATTAAAGATTTTTTTTTTTTTGTACCTTTTAAATCGGATGGCCGAGTGGAAGTGATTGCTGGTCGACTAGTTGACGACGGAATTCGCCAGTCGGTGAGTGAAAGCCGTCCGCACTCTGCGAGACTGAAGAGGAAATTGAGAAGGAAGAAGGGAACAAAATTCTTACTCTGTTGATATGAATGAACGAGCAGGCTTTGTTGTTTATTTGTTCTATTGGGCTGGGCTAATATTAAATGAACAAATAAAAAAACCAAGTTAATAGTAGTAAAAATAAAGGGAAAAATACACATATAACCCCTAGATTAAAAATATTAACATAAATACAATTAGTAGGAAACATAATCAAAAGAGGATTCAGTAGTGATTTTTTTTTTTCAAATTTACGAGATTGTAATAAATCATCAGATATCTTTCTTCTCTCTCCATATATTGATAGTCATCGCATAAAGCCTCATCTCCTCTCATTCAATCGCCACCCTAATTTTCGCTCAGAAAAATCAGAACCCACGACCTCGAGTCCCGAGTGTGAAGTCAAAAGGGCTGCGCCCATTATTTTTGAAAGCAACAAAATGATTAAAATGGACCAGCACACATTTGGAGAAAAAATTCAGCTACCTTTCGTGGAAATGGTGCACTTCCTTCAGCAGCCTTATGTGGAAAATTGGCAGCATCTTCTCTCTATAAATAGAGGAGCTAATTCAGATGGACTAATCACAACAAATACAAAACATCTTAAAGAGAGGAAAAGAAGAGAGGTGTGAGAAAGAAGCAAAATATTTAGCTTCTGTGTGTATTTGAGTTGTGAGTTGTGAGTGAGTTCGAGAGTGTTTTGTAAACACGAGTGTTTTCTTTTCTCCTAATAAAAAATCTGCAGTAGTCCGGAGACGTAAGCATTATTGGCCGAACTCCGTTATCAATTTGGTGTGTCCAATTTTCTATTTCACTTTTATAGATCCGACTTCATGGAAATTTCAGCGTATTTTTCCCAACAACTGGTATCAGAGCCAGATTGTTAATTCTGTAATTTTTTTGTGTGGGTTACTATTCCGTGAATAGTGAAAAACGGGAATAGTGTCAAATTTGTCGGCGCTACAAATTTATCTACCTACGTGTTCTTAAACACGGTAGTTCACAAAATTTACAGAAACGATCAGGCAGAGAAGTCAGATCAGAGTCGAAGTGATGGCTGCAGACGAAGGAAAAATGAAAATTGAAAAGTTCGATGGTGCGGACTTTGGCTTCTGGAAGATGCAGATCGAGGATTATCTGTACCAGAAGAATATGTATCAACCACTCACGGGATAGAAGCCAGAGGACATAAAGGAGGAAGAATGGAGTCTCCTTGACAGACAAGCCCTTGGAGCCATTCGGCTGACGTTATCCCGTAATGTTGCTTTTAACATTGCGAAAGAAAAGACGACAACAGGCCTCATGAAGGCTCTTTCCAACATGTACGAGAAACCATCAGCCTCAAACAAAGTTCACTTGATGAGGCGATTGTTCAACCAACGGATGACCGAAGGTGCTCCGGTGGCACAACATCCCAATGAGCTCAATACAGTTACAACTCAGTTGAGTTCAGTTGAGATCGAGTTCGATGATGAAGTATGGGCTTTAATACTTTTGTCTTCCCTACCAGAAAGCTGGAATGCTACAATCACAGCTGTGAGTAGCTCATCGGGAAGCAATAAGTTGAGATTTGATGATGTCCAAAATTTGGTTCTCAGTGAAGAGATCCGACAGAGGGAGTCGGGTGAACCATCAACCTCTTATGTATTGCATACAGAGTCGAGAGGAAGAAGTTCAACCAAAGAAAGCAGACATATCAAATCAAAGGGAAGAAGATCCAGGTCCATAAATCATCATGGTTCCCAAAACTCGAAGTCGATCGAGTGCTGGAATTGTGAGAAAACCGGGCACTACAGAAACCAGTGCAAGAGTGCACCGAAAAGTCAGGAGGCAAAAGAAGGGGCAAATATTGCTTCAACCTCAGGAGAGACACGCTGATATATTCTTTGGAGAACAGAGAAGAGTCTTGGGTGTTAGACTCTGGAGCATCCTTTCATGCTACCTCACAGAAGGAATTATTCGAGAATTATGTTCCTGGAAATCTTGGTAAAGTTTACCTTGGTAATGAGCAATCATGTGAGGTTGTCGGCAAAGGTTCAGTAAAAATCAAGTTGAGCGGGTCTGTATGGGAATTGAAAAATGTCAGACATATTCCCGACCTGACGAAGAACTTAATTTCTGTGGGCCAGCTAGCCAGTGAAGGCTACAGGACAAAAAGAGTGGTACTCTTTACAAGACCACAGGAGCATGTCATCTGATTGCAGTTGCAACAAATGAAAGTCCCAATCTATGGCACCAAAGACTTGGGTATATGAGTGAAAAAGGGATGAAGATCATTCACTCAAAAGGAAAATTACCAGGCCTCCAGTCAATAGAAATTGACATGTGTGAAGGCTGTATACTTGGAAAGAAGAAGAGAGTCAGCTTTCAAACAAGTAGAAGAACCCCAAAGAAGGAGAAGCTTGAGCTCATCCACTCTGATGTTTGGGGTCCAACGACTGTCCCATCCGTTGGTGGGAAGCAATACTTCGTGACTTTTATCGATGATCACTCCAGAAACGTATGGGTTTACTTTCTGAAACACAAGTCAGAAGTATTTGAAGCTTTCAAAATTTGGAAAGCTATGGTGGAGAATGAGACAGGCTTGAAGATCAAGAAGCTTAGATCTGACAATGGTGGTGAATACGTAACCACCAGATTCAAGAAGTTTTGCTATGAGCACGGGATCAGAATGGAGAGAACCGTGCCTGGTACGCCTCAACACAATGGTGTAGCTGAGCGTATGAATCGAACGTTGACTGAAAGAGCCAGAAGCTTGCGTGTGCAGTCAGGCCTACCAAAGCAGTTCTGGGCAGAAGCAGTCAACACAGCAACTTACTTGATCAACCGAAGTCCATCGGTACCATTGGATCACAAGTTGCCAAAAGAGGTATGGAGCGGAAAAGAAGTAAAACTCTCACATCTTAGAGTTTTCGGGTGTGTAGCATATGTGCACATCAGTGATCAAGGTAGAAACAAACTTGATCCAAAATCAAAGAAATGCACTTTCCTTGGTTATGGTGAAGATGAGTTTGGCTACCGTTTATGGGATGATGAAACCAAAAAGATGATCCGCAGCAGAGATGTCATCTTTAATGAAAGAGTGATGTACAAGGATCGGCATAACACAAGTGCCAGCAACTCAGAAGCGAGTGTGCCAGTTTATGCAGAGGTGGAAGATATCCTAGACATTCCTGTAATAAGGAATCCTCGGTCAGAGGAATCAAATGAAGAAAGCGGTGAGCAATATGAACCTTCTACTCCAACTCATGTATTGAGAAGGTCATCTCGGCCCCATGTACCTAACAGGAGATACATGGACTACATGTTGTTGACCGATGGAGGAGAACCTGAAGATTATTGGGAGGCTTGTCAAACCCCGGATGCTAGCAAGTGGGAGCTTGCTATGAAGGACGAGATGAAGTCCTTGATCTCAAATCAGACATGGGAACTAGTAAAGTTACCCATGGGAAAGAAAGCACTTCACAACAAATGGGTGTATCGGGTGAAGGAAGACCATGATGGTTCCAAGAGATACAAAGCCCGACTGGTTGTCAAAGGATTTCAGCAGAAAGAAGGAGCTGACTACACTGAAATCTTTGCTCCAGTTGTAAATCTCAATACTATCAGGACTGTGTTAAGTATTGTGGCTAGTGAAGAGCTCTACCTAGAGCAGTTAGACATGAAGACTGCATTTCTTCACGGAGATCTAGATGAGAAGATCTATATGCACCAACCTGAAGGTTTTTCTGAAGGAAAGAAGGATATGGTGTGCAGATTGAAGAAGAGCTTGTACGGCCTGAAACAAGCTCCAAGACAGTGGTATAGGAAGTTCGAAAGCTTCATGCACAAGGAAGGTTTCCAGAAGTGCAATGATGACCACTGTTGTTTCTTCAAGAAATATGAGTCCAGCTACATCATATTGCTACTTTATGTCGATGACATGTTAGTAGCAAGATCAAATATGATAAACATCAGAAATTTAAAGATGCAGTTGTCAAAAGAATTTGACATGAAGGACTTAGGCCCAGCAAAGAAGATTCTTGGAATGCAAATCACGAGAGATAAGCAAAAAGGAGTTTTGCAGTTATCTCAGGCAGAGTACATCAACCGTGTTTTGCAGAGA